AATTTTAAGAATTACATTTTTAATTAAACTCTTAATTTTAATTTTTATATTTATGTATATATATATATATATATTTTTTTTTTTTTTACTATAAAAAAATTATAGTAGGCGAGTACAAGGATAGGATGGGGTGAGGAGTTACACACTTGAACTTATACTCGAACTTGATTTTTCAAGTTGGAGAAAACTTGTATACAAACCTATATTCATCAAAAACGAGTTTTTTCATCAAAATTGACTCAGGATTGGACAAGTGTCTGCATATGCAAGTTTAGTTATCATGTCTATTAATGCATAAGCCATAAAGTGTAAATGAGTTTCTGTTAATTGGTAGTTAGGAGAGATTTTTTTTAAAATTTTTGTTGTTTAGTTCAATTTTTATGAGAAGCGGGAAATAAAGTTTTTATCTATTTTAATTCTCCTCTAATATTAGTGTGATTTGGAGAGGAATGGAGAAATTTTTTTAAAACATTTTGAGTGTAATGTCCTAGATATCTTACTTATATTTTTTTTTAAAATTATAAGATTATAAAAGTAAATTAGTTTTTAAAAAATTTCTCATTTTTGTCTACCAAACAAGAGTTATTTATTATCTCTTGTATCATAATTCCTTTCCTCTACCCCTCTTAACCATACAATTCCTATCTCCTCTCCTTTCCATTCATTTCTCCTCTATTAAAATGTGTAATTCAAGCTAGACAATGTCTCTTTTGTAAATTCGGCATTAAATATACAACCAACATATTAGGTTGAGTGGAACTTGACTTGGACTTTTCAAGATCTCAAATTCAAATTTTGTGAATAAAAGAAAAAGTGATTAAAAGGAAAGATCTTATTAAAATCAACTAGTTAAGTTTGTTGACAAAAATTAATCAACAAAATTGGATAATATTTCATAATAATTCATGACGTTTAACTAGTTTTTGAGATTGAGTTAAGACTAATTTAAAGATGTTATAAGAATTCAATAGTTTTAGGTGTAAGAGAGTAGGTTAAAAAAATACCAAATTTCAAGACAATATCTCAACAACATATATAAATGTTAAGGTAAATTGAATTTTATGTGCAAATTTTAAGGTTGGATTTGACTCAAACTAAAATTTTAAGTCATTATCTTATCCATTACCTTTTTGGTTTATTTTCCTATCTATTGAGCCTTAATATTTGGGTAAATGAAGAAAAAAATGATATTTATGCAATAAATTGTAGAATAAATTTTACAGCGGATGAAAAAATAGAAGATATTTCATAAAATGTGGCATAAGTGACTAGTAACTTAAACCCTACATATGATAGGGGTTTGGTAGTTGTCTATGTGAATAAACCATTATTTGTGGGAGAGGAGTTGCTTCTTAGTTGATACTTTGGATAATTACTTTCATGACTTCTGGGGGAAATACCTTATTTTTATTATAAAAAAAAAAATAGAAAGAGAGAGAAATATAAAATGATGATACATGAATAATTTTATGATATTTTATCAAACCAAATCGCTCAAAATATTCAGTGTGCAGATAAACAGAGTACAAAAGCCAAAAGGTAACGTGCTTCTTATACTAGCAGTAAGCCAATTTTATATTCAGTTGTTTTATATTTGCAAATTTCTAATAAGTATTATTTTTTTACACTAATAATAAATATTATTTAATTTCATTTTTCTGTTATAGCGCAGAAAAGATTTGTGTGCTAATAAACATATTGATAGAACAATTTTTTATCAATAAAAAACTTATAGCAATAATAATAAGATTTGAACTTAGAGTTTTACATATATCTTCCCAACGCTTCCGATTACTAATATAAAAATTGCCCAGAATGATTTATATTAACACAAATTAAATTAACTGTGTGATGATTAAATTCTGTAAACTCAGTAAAAATTTCCTATGTTTCACATGTGAATTAAAAAATATACATAAGATGTATAAAGAAAAATTAAATTTTTTTTATCGTTGATAATGAAAAAAATATGAACTAAAAAGTAGTCTTTAAAAGTTTTAATTTTGAAAATTATTTAAAATAATTTAATTATAGTGTTACTTAACGATCATTGTATATCTCGTTATATTTAATATTAATGGGGTTCAAATATTAACTAAAATAATTATTGAAAATAAAAATCTATTTTGGGTTTAAATATTTAATTAAGTAGAAAAATCGTTTATTGAAATTTATATAAAAGTTTATATGACCGTGTTACAAAATAAAGAAGACGCGTGACTACTTGATAATTATGTATAGAGGCTATTTTATTTTCAAGAACAAAAAATTGAATTTATAATACAGAAATAAAATTATTTGAACTTGATTTTCTGAATCTAATTTTTCCAAAAGCAAATTTTTAAATAGTCGATATATGTTTTAAAACTTATATGTTAAGGATTTATTGATAAATGTTACTTTAATAAAGAGTATACAAATATATTAAAGTAATAATACAATGTTAAATTAAATTATTCGTGTAAATACACATGCAACCAAGCCTGTAATTTTAATGCAAAATTGGCAAACCTATTAATATTAATTTTAGAGCACATTTACATCCTCAATTAATAAGGCTCTGTTCGTAAAGGTTGATACGATGATACTCGTAGTCTCTAACCAATTGCTATGATAAATAAATAAAATATATATTATACTTTTTATAAGAGTATTATATTATTTTTATTTTAAAACATATAATTTAGTCTATTTAACTTAACATTATTAATATAAATTATACTCTTATCTTCTGATAGATGTAACACTTCCCATATGTTAAAATATTAAATAAATAATATTTCATCTCTTAAAAATACAAGTATCATATTGTCACTCACTTATTATATTAACTTAACATCATTAAAAAATGATTATTATAATATTTTAAAAAGTATTTTTATTTAATTAGTCATAAAAAAATATACTTTTAATTTAACAGAAAAATATACTGTTCCGGTCACGGGATGCGCTAGGGTTTTTCCTAGATTCAGTAAGCATGTATTAATTATCAAGGGTAAAAATAGAAAAAAAAAATTAATAAGTCATTGATTTTAGTAAAATGACAATGAAAAAATAACAAATTCTGACAAAACGACTATGAAAAAAAAAACGGAGGGAGTATTTCTTTTAGTTCAATTCTAAAACTTAAATATAGCTCTTTTTACAGCATTTAAATATAGTTTTTTTTTATTTTGAATTTAAATTTAATACATGGTACTCTTCAAATTTTTTAAATTTTTATTTATACTATTAAACTAAAAAAATATAATTGATATTTAATTTTGTGAAATGATAGGTATTAATATTCATAAAATTATCACAATTTGTTACATTTTGTGGTAGTTTCAAATTACTATACATTAATTTAAGAGACTCCATGTTATTTTAAAACATAAGCACTTATTAAAAAAAATTACAGTTTTGAGATTTAATTAAAAATTTTAAATATATTATAAAATTAACTATATATTAAATCGTCAAATAAGGGATAAATAAAAAAATTATTTAAATAAATTAGATCAAAAATTTCATATTTGTGAAATTATAAAAATCAAGTCAATGTTTTGAGTTTATTTAAAAGATAAAGTGACTTTTTTTTGTTGTATGCTAGCTCTATCAAAACTTAAAATTGATATTTTAAAAATTGGATTGGTTATCAAATCGATTAAGATATTAAGTTAATTGGTTACAAATCAATCTTATAAGTCACTAATTAAATCACATGATTGGATATTTATTAATTTTTTAAAATAAATATTTATATCATATATATATTTCATACTTATAAATTTCAAAAAAATTCATATAGTGTATGTAAAAATTCAATAAAATTCACATGATATCCTAAAAAAACGTGTAATAATT